GGTCTCGCAGGCTATTACAGGAGATTCATTCAGAACTTCTCCAAAACAGCCAAGCCACTTACCATGCTTACACAAAAGGGCGTGCCATTTGAATGGACAGAAAAGTAGGAGGTTGCCTTCTGAACTCTGAAGCGAGCTCTCTATAGTGCACCAGTACTATCACTACCACAGGGAACAGGGGACTTCGTAGTTTACTGCGATGCTTCGAAGATTTGGAGGCACTACCTTCTGTGTACTCATGCAGCGTGGAAATGTGATAGCTTATGTATCTCGACAATTAAAGACACATGAGGTGAATTACACCACCCATGATCTCGAATTGGGAGATGTGGTTTTCGCTTTGAAGATTTGGAGGCACTACCTTTATGGTACGAAGTGCACCATTTTCACCAACCACAAGAGTCTCCAACACATTTTAAATCAAAATGAGTTAAACATGAGGCAGCGAAGATGGGTTGAGCTGCTGAATGATTATGAGTGTGAAATCAAGTACCACCCAGGCAAGGCTAACATGGTAGCTGATGCCTTGAGTCGGAAAGAATACTCAAGTCGTCGTGTGAAGACTCTTTCAATAACCATTCAATCCCATCTGTCCTCACAAATCAAAGCAGCCCAGTTCGATGCCATGAAGATAGAAAACAGAACAAGCGAAGCGTTACGTGTAATGGAAAAGAACTTTGAAGTCAAGAAGGACAGAGCATATTAATTCATGAACCGAATTTGGATCCCTAAACTTGGGGGATTCAGAGAAGTAGTCATGAATAAGGCTCATAAGACACAATACTCCATCCATCCGGGTTCAGATAAAATGTACTTGGATATCAAGCAACAGTATTGGTGGCCTAACATGAAGGCAGAAATTGCCACATACGTTAGCAAGTGCCTCACTTGTGCTAAAGTGAAGGTAGAATATCAGAAGCCCTCGGGACTATTACAACAACCGGTAATACCCGAGTAGAAATGGGAATTGGGAAAGGATTACTATGGACTTTGTGACCAAATTACCCAAGACAACAGATGGATTGGATACCATATGGGTAATAGTCGACAGGTTGACAAAATCCGCTCATTTCTTGCCAGTCATACAAGATGGAACGATTGAGAAGAATCTACATCAAGGAAATTGTGAGACTCCATGGAGTACCAATATCTATCATCTCAGATCGAGATAGTAGGTTCACTTCATGCTTTTGGCAATCGCTTCAGAAGGCTATAGGGACACAACTCGACATGAGCATTGCTTACCACCCACAAACGGATGGTCAAAGTGAGAGAACCATTCAAACGCTTGAGGATATGCTTCGAGCATGTCTGATAGACTTTGGAAGGTCGTGGGATACCCACTTACCTTTAATTGAGTTTTCGTACAACAACAGCTATCACTCAAGCATCAAAGTTGCTCATTTTGAAGCCTTATATGGACGTAAATGTAGAACACCATTGTGTTGGGCTGAGGTAGGTGACACTCAGCAAGCAAGAGAACAGACACCAAGCAATGCATTAACAGGACCAGAAATCATACGTGAAACAACGGAGAAGATAGTTCAAATCAAAGCTCGACTTCAAGCATCACGAGACCGACGGAAGAGCTACGCTAATAAAAGACGAAAGCCCTTGGAATTTCAAGTCTGGGATCGGGTGTTGTTAAAAGTCTCTCCCTGGAAAGGGGTGATTCGTTTTGGGAAACGGGGAAAACTAAACCCACGGTACATTGGTCCATTCGAGATTCTTGGTCGAATCGGTCCGGTGGCTTATAGACTACAACTACCTGCTGAACTAAGCAGTGTACACCCTGTGTTCCATGTTTCCAATTTGAAGAAGTGTCTATCCGACGAAACTCTCGTCATTCAATTGGAAGAAATCGAAATCAACGAGAATCTCCTGTTCATCGAGGAACCAGTTGAAATCATGGACAGGGAAGTGAAGCGTACTAAGCAAAGTCGCATTCCGATTGTGAAAGTTTGGTGGAACGCGAAATGTGGACCGAAATTCACATGGGAATGCGAAGACCAGATGAAGCAGAAGTACCCTCACCTATTCTCGCATTCTCAAATCTAGCTTCAAAAAGAATTTCGGGACGAAATTCCCTCTAACGGGGGGATGATGTCACAATTGGGAATTCTGATGCTTTGTAAACAATTAACAAGGATAACATTGTAACTAAAACTTGAAAACATGTATGATGCTTATTCAATGACAACAAAATTCCATCAAACACTCCATACAAACGCTCAAATAGTCTACAAAAGGTTGGAAACGCTAGAAATCCCGGTTTAAGTCCATTATGGAGTAGGATTTCCTTATTGGGCCTAATGGGCCAATAAACTTCCAATGCGACTATTTTGGGCTTAGAACTCTTAAATGGGCTCTCATTAGACCCATTCTCATAAGACTTAACCTATTTGGGCCTTATAAGCCTAAAATGGACTAGCTTACCTTTAATGGGCCTTATTGGGCCATAACAAATCCAAATAGCTTTAATAGACTCAAATCCATTCCTTTATGCTAAATTGGGCCGTGAACTACTCTAAAGGCCCAATGGGCTGAAAATTATCAAAATTGGGCCTCATATTATGGACTCAAGCACAAAAGGCCCAAGCCATTCTCTTCCTTCTCTCTCTCTCTCTCGGCCCAAGTAGAAAACAAAAAAAATGAAAATGAGAATAATGGTGGGGAGAATTAACTAAGAGATGTCACCTTCCTATTATTCAACATGTAACAATGCTATAATTTCCCATACTTCCATGCATGTCAACTCATTATATCTCTCTTCTCCCTCTTCTTATTACTCACGGCCGAAGATCACAACACGCACAAACACAAATTTCATCAACCTCTTTCAAACACACTCTCTCTAGAAAATCTTCATCTTCTACATTCAAATTTTCGAGATCTTGGAACATTTCAAGGAGGTTCTTCCACAAAAAATCATCATCCTAGGTAAGTTGATGCTTGGATCCATAATCTAGTCTCTTTATTTCATCAAGAATCTCTTCTAAACTCACACAAACTCATGATCATCATCCTAGAAAACTCTAAGTTCGAGATCCATCCAAGAAGGCTTACTAGGACCAAAACTCTTCCATTTCTTTCTTCAAAACCGACAACAACAAGCAAAGGTGAGTTCATACCCCTCTATTTTCGATTTTCATATGATTTATGGGGGAGAATACAAGTAAAATGTGAAGATCTATGTGTATTTGTATGTTATGTGTGATTTCTTGTGTTTTTGTGGTAAATATGTGCTAAAAATGAAAGATATTTCGAGATCTATAGTTCAAGAAGGAAAAATATGTGATCTAGGTCATATTTCACTTAACATGTCAAGATAAACTACTATACAAGCTTTAAAATAACACACTACAACATAAAAATTTGTTATTAGACTATTTTTGATAAATAAACAAAAGATGGGGAAAAAGATGTCATTCACGGTTTCTACAAGGATCAAAACGTCAAAACAGCCAAAATAAGAGTTTTTATAAATATTAGGCTTTTTAAAGGACTAAAAATGTAAATTTTAGCCTAATGGGCTAAAATTTGGGCTTTTCGGCTATCTAGGCCCAAAAATGCGAAAAATCCACTTCAAGGGGCTGAAATGGAAAGTTTTCTCAAAACAGGGGCTATAAACGTAAATAAACCTATTTTAGGGTTAAAATGACCTTATTTATCAAAAGGGACTAAACATGCAAAGATTTTGGATTTTGGGTAAAAATTGTAAAAATTGCGACAAGTGTGGATTTAAATGCAAATCTTTTAACTAAGGGGTTGAAATTGTCCAAAATAAAATTTTGGGTTTAAAACATTATTTAATCAAGTGTTTAGGCCAAAAATGTCAAGAAAAATAGTTCAAGGACCTAATATGACATTTTTCATAAAAAGGGCTAAAAATTGCCAACTTTACCAAAATAAGGGGCTGAATAGGTCAAACTAATATTTTTGGTCAATTATGTTAATAATAAAATAATTGGGTCAAAATATACAAAACTTTATAACTTATGGGTTTTAAATAGAAAAATAACTATTTTTATAAATCTATGAATCGTTATAAAACAAATTGGTGATTATTACGACATATCGATTAAACAACTTCGCAACACTAATACCATACAAAACAAGTAAACATTCTAATTGTTGGGCTTGAGAGATTCTAATCATGCTTATTGGGCCTTCGTGACCCATTAACATGACTTTTGGGCCCAACCTAAATAATACATGTTATTGGGCCTCCTGTGACCCAATTACATGCTTAAGGGACCCTCAATGGCTTTTACATGCTATTGGGCCTCAGTGGCCCATTAGCATTGCTAGTAAGGTCCAAATAAATCTTATACGAAATGGGCCAACGCGCCTTTCGTATATTCGACAGCCTTAAATAACATACGTAATTAGTAGGGTCTATTAGTCCTCTTCTCCTCGTCTGTTAGGCTTACCTTCTCTTCAAGTAAACTAAAATCAGGTCATTAATCAAGGTTAATCAAATTCATGTGGATTAAGTAAGTAACAACGGGTGACACCAATAAGTGTCGGTCGTAGTCTGTAGTTGTAATCAAAGTCTCCTGGAGGGAGAGCGCGAGTTTGTATATAGATCTATATGGGGGTGACTCCTCCACACCTAAGTTGTTCGCTACAGTTAGACTCGGCCAGTCTAAGGTGACAAAATCTTAAGATCAATTCCGGTGTTCATTAGAATGTCAAGACAGACGAACTAGTCATTATCATGCATGGTTATAACGACTCACATACAAATCCAATACCATTTAAGTAATCAGGGGGAATCATATTCATTCGCTATGACGATACAATAATACAAAACAATCATAACTTTTTATCGGAAAACATCGGGTTTTCTGGGGAAACCAATCTTACTCACTTGTACTTTCAAAAACTATAATGCAAAACTACTCATTTATACACGTTTTGAAATCATTCACGCATATACTTACAGGATCATCACAACATTTTCATGAAAAGTCTTATTACAGAAAATATCGGATTTTCTGGGTTTTACGAACGACATAAACTATTTTACATCAAACATACTTATGAACTCACCAACATTATATATGTTGACTGTTTTCAAAATAACTTGTATTCTCAGGTAATCGTTAGAACGAGGAAGCATCTAGTGTGTTGAAAGTTTCTTTTGTAGTTGCTAATCACCAAACACTTTATATTTTGGGATCATGTAATGTAAACCATGTACTTGATGTAAACAATGCCAGTTGTACTATGTAATGTTTGGTGATGAATGTGTTTTGTTTCATGTATATTCATTGTGATGATATTTCAATTTAAGTCACGCGAGCCCTCGGACGTTTCCGATGTCTGGTTCGGGGGTGTGGCAATTTTCGTCTTTTTGCATGAAAGTTGTTGTACCTTTAGCCAGCCTAAGAAGGCGGTCGAGTTCTCTAGGGCTTAATTCATCTGGTGCATCACAGGCGGAGCTGTAAATACCAATTTATTAGTAGCTATATAATCCGAAATTGTCATATGATGCGTAGTTTAATACAATAAAAGTAAAATACTTATTAAAATTTTTGTTTATTATATTAAGAATAATTAGGATTCCCCTGTTGTGATCCCATACATTTTGTTGGCATGTTCATTTAGCAGGGAGAAGAAAATCAGTCGGTAATCTTTGCCATTTTTAACAGTTATCACATTCGGCCCACTGTGTTTATTCCCTGAAACATAATTTTTTTTATGTTAAATTTAATTTATATATAATAAAATATAAAACGTGAAGCAATAATTGTTACCCAAAAGAGCTACCAGTGAATATACTCCCCTTTCCAAAAACCGGAGGTTCCTAAAAAAAGAAAAAAGAAAATTCAATATCCAAATATATTTTTTTTTAGATGTTATTTAGGAAAAAAATTAAGATGACTGACTTCATATTCTTCAAATTCTTGGTCTTCAATGGTGACACTACTTGGATTCAAAGCATTAGGTGGAGTGAACATATCTTGTAATTCTTCCCATGTATATTTGAGCTCAAGAGCATCTTGACTTTCAATCAACAATCTTTTATTTTTTGAACTAATATTTCAACTTCTTCTTTTGTCTGGTTGAAATGAGTCGCCATTTGATTCTCTTCCTTGCTGCTCATTTGCATGCCAGCTGGCATCTCCAATAGCCAAGCTCATATTTCTTGACAATGCATTTAAATGGGAATCTGTGTTTCTCCTTAGTGACAGAGGAAGACCAGAATAATTACTCATAGTTGAAAGACTCTCAATTGTATTAAGACCAGATAAAGGGGAAAAAGCAAAGAAACAAAAGCAATTTACGAATTATTTGTTGGGAATTCAGAATGACATGGATGCATATGATGTTGAACTTAACTGCACCTCTCACAAGTCTTCCCTACAACATAACAAAGTTCATGAGATTTTAGACATTTGATAAAGTTATGGGCTATAAGTATCCCAAGTCCATGTTAACTGTAGATCGACTATTCCATATGGTTAGATTAGATTAACTTACCATCAATCCTTATGAACAACTGAATGAACCCCGACGATTACTTTGAAATCATTGACGATATCCCCACATCACTAATCACAGCAGAATAGAGTGTGATTTCCTGCATATTAAACATCGCCTAAAGTTAAGCACAACTTACTACAACACATTGCTTTGATTTTCGGTCGACAATCGGTTTCAGAATCTGATAGGAAGCGAAAAGCGAAGAGAAAGCACTGAATCACGTTTGCAGAAATTGATAAAATTAAGCTAACAATTGAAATCACATCATAAACCCAAAACTAAACCCTAACATCTAAAATTGAGGAAACAAAGACGAAAGAAGGGGCATCGATACCTGGCTGGTAAACGTTTGATGAACCCAAAATCGGGCCCTAATAGGGATTGTGACAGAAGGCCTTCACAACGGGCAGTTGAGAGAGGAGACGAAGACGAAGCGTTGTGAACACGTCGAAGAGGGTGGTCGGCGTTACCTGATTAAATGCTTATTGAGCCGAAAATTATATAATGTGAAAACCAAAGACGAAAGAAGAGGTAGCGGACCTAATTAAATGCTTGTTGAACCAAAAATCATTTGTCTCACATTTCAGAGAGCAATCGAACAACCAACATGAATGCTGATTTTTTTTGTGTTGGCCGATGATGAAATTGAAGCCGAAGAAACAGCCGTCGGCAAGAGCAAAGGTAGAGAACATGGAAGAAAATCTGATGCTCATATGAAATTTCGAACAAATCAAAAGGGATAGGGGATGGAGCTGGAATCAGAAGATATTGGATAAGGACGCGGTGGGAAAGATCCGGAAGAGGATAAAACGAAACGATCATCAACACGTGTATAAAAGAATGTGAATATTTCCATAAAATGCCCAGGCACAAAAAACAAACGGAAACAACACATCCATGAACTATTCTTGCCAAAAAACACACAACTTCACTATTCATTGAAGTGGTCATCTTTAATATATATATATATATATATATATATATATATAAAAGAATAAGATAACTAGCTTATCAAAACTTCATAAGGCCTCGAATAACTAGATTTCCAAAACTTCAAAATGTTTGGGAGACATCCGAAAGGAAAATATATATCATATGTTTTCATAACATGAGCAAATTTAATGGTAATAATTCAACCATGTTTTCAAGTATTTTTGGTGACCTTGTTTAGAGACATGTTGAAATGAGAATAGAGAGTGGTAAATCATTAGAATAGAAACAAACGACAAGTTATGGGTATAAATAAATGTATAAAGTGAATGTAATTTTTGAATTCGGATACTTGATCATTTTTATTGTACAGTATTTATACTTTATAACATCTTAAGGAGTTATAGTATGAACTAAGGGTCTACTTAAAACAAATTACAATTTATTAGAGTAATTAAAGGGGTGTTTGAGACGAAACAAAGGTATACATATTTATATGACCAAAAAAGACATGGTTACAAAATTAGAGTTATTAAGTACTTCTTACAAAGATTTTTGGTATTGAGTTTCAAAAGCACTTATTAACTTATTAGCTTTTTAAAAAAGCAAATAAGTCTAAAATGGTGTTTGGATAAGTAATAACTACTTTTGACAAGTGCTTTGTACAATCCTCAAATAAAGAAATCATTTTTAAGAAGTCAAATACTTAACTTATTGACTTCTAACATATATAACGGAAAAGATTTTTTGGAGAATTCCTTATAAAGTAAATTTTTACCCTTAACCTAACCTTTTAATAAAGACCCTCACGCCAAAAGGACATGATTAATATAGTTCTGATATGAAAGCATGCCCTTTTTGATCATTTTAGATATATAAAAGAAGATAAATATAATTTTTTTAAAAATGGATTATAATCTTAATCTTTATGAAACAAAATAATTAGCACTTTTTATATAAGATGTTTTCTTCTCACCACATAAGCTAATAAGCACTTATAAAAAATGCTAGTTCAGTTAAATAAGCATTCCTACACACTGACTCCTCAGTTAAATAATCAATCTCAATCACACATTTACTAACAAATATACGACTTATTATTAAAACAATGATTTTTTGTAATTGACGAACATGGAAGGAAAAAAGTTATGTCCAATCATTACATACAACCAAACTTTCATAGACGAATGAAGCTATGCAAAAGACCAACATAGTATCTTATTTTGATCCGACAAACTGATTTGGAATTTGGAATAGACTCGTTCAAAGTGTACAATCAGAAGAATTCTAGGTTTTAGAAAATGGTCCAAATGTTAATTTTGTTCATTATAAACGTTTTTATTATATCTTTAACCAATTTACAAAACAGTTAACATCTTTTAATTTGCTCTATGTTGGGAAGGGTAGTCTCGTAAGGGAAAAGTTGTTTGATCAACGTCCTTTTAGCCACATGAATTGGAATGTGAGTTACAAGTAAAATTACTAACTCCATCATCTAAGCTTATAAATTTTTCTTAGTTATTTCAATTGTGGAACTTCTTTTTACTCGTTTAATTAATATGGTATATATGTAATTTTACTAAATTGCTACTTTTTAATTCCGGCCTCATGTGTAGAACATGTTTATAATAGTTGAAAGAAGAACTAGAATGTGTAGGGAAAATATGATCTAGAAGACGTAAAGGCTAAAGCAGAAGAATTAATATGTATTGTCAAACTAGTTTTTGGCTAGTTTTGGTGATTACTAATGCTAATTGAAAAGGAACACAACCAATACTACATTTATTTGCCATATATTTTTTCCAGATCAATCATGAAACCATGATTGAAGAAGTAAAATCATTATTGAACCATCCACGAATACCATATCATTGGTCTTTGACAAAGATCATAGTGGATTCATAAGAAGGGTTGGCACATAAGTCCTTTTAACAAACTATTGGCATATATCTTGAGGAAAATGTTCATAAAAAAAAATAGTTGTTATAATAGAGGCAAAATTAGAGAATAAAGGTAGAGAATATGATAATCTAAATGAAAAGGTGATTTTTTTTTATTGTGTGGCTTCCTTTTCGGGGTAAATATAATTATTCTCTTATAATTTCAAATGCGGAGTGTCTTATAACTAGTACTAAAACTAAAAGAAAGTATTATGTTAATTAATGCTTTTGTTGCAATGTTATACTAGAAAGATAGGAAACAATATATGTGTACATCAGCATCTAAAACACTACCAAAGTAGTCAAAATTCATGTAATTGTATATATTTATATATTTGTATAATTATTTTCCAATACTTTTAATTGTGTTTCCTAGACTCTAAATGATGTACCATTTCACGAAAGTTCAAGTAACATTGAAAAAACGTTACATTTACGTATGAGAAGCCACATGTTAGGAATTAAACTAATCAAAATACGATAACAAAACAAACTAAGATAATGTTATTCGACATGTTTACATAATATCGGCATATATGTCACTTAGACTTAATTTATACTTATAATATATTGATATATGCATGTATCTTTTAGACAATAAAAGGTACAATATTGTTGTGTCATCCTAATGTTAGTAACATGATTGGGAAAGACTTTATCCACTACCTACTAATGAAAATTTGAGAATACAAGCAAACTATGACACATTTTTGTATTTCATTTTTAGTTTCGTAAAAATAATAAAAAAACACAGACTAGGCATCGTCAAATATGAATGTCAAATTCTAAGTGTATTTTTTTAATTATATTCTAAACCCAAATTAAAAGTCGCATTCTCCAAAATAATGAAAGACTTTTTTGCTGGGACTAGACACATCAAATATGCATGTCATATTCTAAGTGTATTTTTATAACTATATTCTAAACCAAATTGAAAGTTGCATTCGATCACCATACTCGACTACCACACCATTAAATATCAAGTTTTCCTTACCGACTCAACCTTCTAGATTCATTTCCCTCATTTTCTCCATTTTCCCCCTATATCCACCATGACCAAGAAACTATCACCACCTCTGCAACACAACACCAACTTTGAAAGTAAAATTTTGAAGACCATTGCAGTTTTATCTATGTGGGAACTGCTTACAATAAGATATATGCTACTTCGTACTCACAATCTCGCCACCCTGCAACATCTCCTTTGCATTCTCACTGAGATTCCCTTCCTTCTCAGGTCAAATTGAATTTCTTCCTCCTTTTTCAAAATTTTGATTTATTTTTGTTGTTGTGTCCATTGCAATGTGTATTTTCTAAATTGTGCATTTTCATAGTGGTTATTAATCTATTTTTGTCTCATTCCTTACTGATTCAGGTGTATCATCTGTTGTTGTTACAAGTTACAAGCCTCTAAACACTTGCATAATTCTTACTGAAGATGAGCATCAATGGCTATTGCCTGCTTTTTTTTTTTTTACTTATAGTTGTATTCTTTGATTTCTATTGATGGAATTATCTATTGCATTTCCAGTCATATAAGTGTTGCTCTATAGATGTCTATTTCTAGTTAAAGTCCTTATTCGTTATACACATTCATGCTCTAGTTATACTTGAACGATTTACCGGCTCTATTTACACTAGTCTTGCAATCATTTCTTGGTTCCTTGGAAAGTTTTAATGCTCTTAATCATAGTTACAATTCCTTTTCTATTTAGACCTTGTAGTATTTGCACACTGCATTCCATCAAAACACAAAAATGTCAACAAAAATAGCAATATCTTATTAATCTTGGGCATCATTCTAGATATGAAGTCATGTATAGGGAAGCAGTTCACTAAAGCATTCCTATGGCGATATTTGATTTTTATATTCTTAATCATAGTTAAAAAAGAAGGATAGTTGCACACTAGGAACTCTAAGTGATACCATTAAAACTATGTCGGATAGTAAGCTCTGTTGTTTGTCTGATTTAACTCTTATTTGAATACAATTTTTATACCCAGTTTAACTGAAGTTATTTTTTTTATAATTTTTTTCTTTTCACTTGCCTTGAGTAGTATATAGTATTCTAAATAACGTAGAGCTGAAAGCCATCATAGCCACATAAACGAATCTTCAGTCGAAGTTATTGTCCTTTTTTGATAACAAATCTAAAGTTCATATATTTTCTTTTTTCAGTTCCGCCTCTACGGGCTACCCTTACTTGCTCCAGATAAAAGAATACAAATCTACTATAACCAATAGCATTGCTTCCATTGTAGAATTGTATAAATAGAGGAATATTATCATTGTTCATGAGGACACCGATGATTGTTCATGAGGACACCGATGATGGGAGGGAGATCTTACCATATTTAGTCTAGTCATTCTAAGATAATTTATGGTCACAATTAATTACATTTGTATTTGTATCTCAAAAAGTAAAAAATTGTCATCATAAAATTTAAAAACTATGACTATAAGTATTTTATGAATACAATTTTATTTCTTATTTGAGCGTATATAGAAAATATAGTCATGGTAAAAAGAAAACATGGTTGTTGGGTGAAAACAAAACAAGTTAACCACTTCAGACAAATATCAAAACAAACTTCGGTGAACTTGCGGAAATAAAACTTCTAAAAATGTAAATCAAGTGAACACAAAATTTAACGTGGTTCAATCAAGGTGACCTACATCCACGGGCGAACGAGAGAGAGAGAGAGAGAGAGAGAGAGAGAGAGAGAGAGAATTTTATTAACTTCCAAGAACAAGTACAATCACACACAAATGTTACACCTCACTTGATCTCTCAGAACAAGATAATCTCTCTTGCTTGCTAACCGGTCCAAATGAGTGATCTCAACCTCACAATGATTACTCTCTTGAAATTTTTTATGCACATTCAATGATGGAGATATGAGTCTATTTATACTTGAGGGATCAGAACTAAAACCCTAATGGTCCAGGCCCATAGGCCCATGAATGGTGACAACCAATCATATTCCGCCATGCAACATCTTCTGAAACATTCTTCCATGTCAAACAACCCATGAGCATCAACAACACACATGATGGACCAC